ATTCTTTATTTGAGTATGAGGGCGAGGGTGTTGCAATCGGGTCCGTGTATGCGTGTCTGTCTGTGTTTCCGCGTGCATATCTTGAAAACAAATAGACTGATGTACACGAAAATTTTATACAATATGGGAAGTCAGTATGGGACAGTCCTCCCCAAATTTGGTCCGGATCCAAATCCCGATCCGGATTCTGGATCACTTTGAAGTATTTTTTTTTATAGTGGGAAGATAGGGCATTTTCTCAGGTTTTGGGTTAATAACTCTGTAAAGTGTAACCGGATTTGTACCAAATTTCATGGGCACATTAAGGTTGAGAATCCTAATCATAAAACAAAAAATGATCCGAATCGTTGATCATTCTGGATCTGAGAAGGATTTTCTGAGTTTTCGATGGTGAACTTTGATGTTATCCAATATAAACTCATGGAATCTCGAAAAGGAGCGTCGGAACGAGAGTATGCAATCTCTCTCTCTCTCTCTGATTGCTTTTGTTTATTTTAATCATGATTTGTTATCAAGTTAAAATTTTGTCTTTCATCAAGATATACACACTGGTTAAATAAATAACCTTAGTCAAATAATTCATCGCTTAATAATATAATCGTCGTATATTTAATACAAAAAGTTTTGATCAATATCTTTAGCCAAATAAATAACCACCAAGCACACTTGATCACGTGTGTAAAATAACGATCAACGTGATGTCAAAACTGCGTAAGAGGAAAATAATTGTTGTCACCAGATGGTACTGATTTGTCAGGACTTGTATGAACTGGGTGGAAATTTCACTTAAGATATAAAATAAAGTTTAGATCCCCTCCATGTAAAAAAATGAGTGAAGACATGTGAAACTGTCGAAACCTGACTCCATATAAATTTGATGTTATTTCTTAATATTGGATTTAAACCTTATTTTTTATTACATTACACGATATTGTGTATTTACCTACTATTCACTAAAAACTCTTACTCCTGGAAGTAGTCTTTACTACTATACAAAATCGGTTTAGACAACCCTAAAAACTAGATAAATAACGATTTTTTTTTTTTACACACACAAATCACCATAATTAGTGTTAGCAGGAATAACACAACTGGTACTGTAGGGTACTAAAATCAACTAAAAATCATGCTTAATTTAAGATTCGAATAAATCACAAAAAAATGTCTAACGCATTTTGATATATTTCATCTTACCGTATGTGACATTAACAACACACACACACACACACACACATATATATATATATATATATATATATAACAATTCCTTCTTGTTTAATACATGGGCAATGAACATTTAAAACCATCATGGGCCCCATATATTTTGGGCTCCTGCAGGTTTTATGGTGATACGTGTAAAGGGTTGCACTAATAATCGATGGCATATGTCCAATATTGGTTGCTAGGGCAACGACAACAGCAGCAAGTACGTGTACGAGAATACCATTTGAAAATTGCCTAAGTTTAGTCAAAATGCGTGCTCGGTATTCACATGTCAGATTTTATTGCGTGCGTAAGTTATTACTATAATTCGAATGACTCTCTAAACAACTTCACCAAATAATAAAACTGGCTTTTTTTTTCGATATGCGGTTTCGTCAAATTAGATCTTACACAATAGTTGGCGTGGCTCGACACACGCAGACTCGCAAGTTAACTGGGCAGCGTTCGTCCATAGGACGACGTTTTCAACACGGTTTTCCATAACTTCCATTATTTCTCATAATAATAATAATAATAAATATGATATCAAGACCTCTAGAAGCGATTTTAATTCAATTAGTTCTTAATTCTACGAACAAATAAAGTAAACTCTGTGCTGTTTAAAGTAACTAATATCACGAAAGTGCATAAAAGTTAACTAAGTTTTATAAAACTACAGACAATATTGGAAGCTTGTAAAGGGGGTGATCAAAAAGGAAATACAACAGAAGCACTTTTAAACTGCAGATTCAATGATCTAATGATATTAACACAGAATAATATAATGCAATCAAGAGGCGATGGCTTCCCTGTAAAAATCACCATTTTTAATAAGTGGCAAACCCGGTATTTTCAACTACTATACTTCTTAAATGTGTTTATATACTCAAGCTTTATTATGAATTCACAGATCCTGTATGAAAGAAACAGACCTAAGTATTTTTTATGGTTCCGTTGGGCGACAAAAACATTGCATACTTAAGAACGTGAAATTAGACATGGTCTCATTCAGCCCTCTTCGCACGCGCTATTCTTGTATTTCGTCTTCCAGGTTCTCCTGTGAAAAAAACAAAACAAAACACACACACACACACACACACACATATATATATATTCAAAGTATCACCTGGTGGTGCTTTGATTATTTATATATATTTATTACGCTCGAGAAGATCATATCCTCATATATATAAATCAATATACCTAATGCTATACAATACACTAACTATTCATAGACGATTAATATCAACATTGCAAAACGACAATGAACTTAATATAAGCCAGAAACAATATAATAAAAATGAAATTCAAAACTATGCCAAGGATGACAACAAGAAATGATGACAGAGGTATAATTTTTACTTTCATTAATTTGTTACTGGTTTATATAAAGTCCTTGTTTAAAATGTTTAACTAGCAATATCCCTTCTCTTCACGTTTATAAATATCCGTACTGTATCGAATAGCTTAAAAACCTAAAACACGTAACCGGATGGTCCAGAAATTATATCAAATAGTTTTATATATATATATATATAATAAACCTTCCTTTACACGGTAAAAACAGTACATCACCTGTAAACTTCAGTGATGAACTACATATACAATCTCTGACTTAGCTGGGACGATAGAACTAATATTCCAATTTCTTTTAGCAACAAGCTTTCAGTGATTGGCTGAACTTGTATTACCCACAATACAGTTCGATTAAAATTGGCATTATTCTACACTGCAGTGGTCAGTTGTATCAATCGCAACTTTACAAATTACTTATTTTATACATTTCTTTTCGAACTTCGCTCTTGTAATCTCAAACGCAGAGCGGGTTAAACCAACTGTGAACCAATAATCGTTCATATGTTCGTTTTGCACAGAAAACTTATGAACACCGAAGCCTGAGCGTCTTTCACAAGC